TTAAGGGTTCCTGTATTCGGTTGTAATCAGGAGTTGCGGCTTTAGGGTTTAGGGTTTTGAGGCGTTTGCTGGCTTCGGATCAACGGGTCTGCCGTCAACTAACCCCAAACATGTCGCCCCTTAATATCAAAATCCTTAACCCAAATCGCAGGACCCCAAACCCTAGAAACACTTGTGACACTCTAGGGTGGCTTGAATACTTCCAGTTCCTAAACCCTAAATTCTGTTGTTTCCTTGGTTCTGCGTCGGCTTTGTTCCGAGAGCTGCAGCTGCTAATCCACACGCTGTAGCGGAACTAGTCAGCACAGAATGCTCTTCGAAGAAGGAGGCGGTGGGATTCGACCCTAAACCCTAAACCCTAAACCGACCACCAGAATCCCGAAGTCATCATAATCGAGTCTCTAAGCACATCCCTTGGCTTGACATCATTTCAGCCATAGTCTAAACTCCTAGTATCCCCCTCAATAAGCCCTGTAGTAGTCCCCTATATAACCCCCTTTAAGGAGTTTAGACTATAGCTCATTTATGTAACCCCAACTGAGCTTGCCAAGTCAGCACCTCACCTTTGCCTACAAAGGGCAAGGCCCGGGCACCAATGAGCCCTCGGCGGCCTCGGGTCACTTCAGATTTCCGCAGGGGTCTGTCCATTTGACAAGTGGCCTATATATGGACTTCGTTGTACTTTGCCCTTACCAGATACACTCCAAAAAAAGGGGCCCGAGTTGTTGCAAACCCTCATGTAGGGTTTTTGGGGATTAGAGCTTCAGGTCTGGGAAATCGGGTTGAGGAAGAGCATAGAATGACGGGATCAGATATGCTCTGCACCAGATGGCTTGCGCCGTCAAGGGAGCTTGGCACTACCAGTGCTTCGAAGGTTCATCATCAACACCCACAAATTCAAACTTTCGCAAGATCGCGGCTTTTTGGGGTTCGTTTGAAGGTATATTGAAGGACCCCATGCGGGAGAGGGTCTTACTCACTGTGCAGAGCCCTTATGCCGAACACAATGTTGTGGTCAGAGTTTCCTTATGTTGTCATACGGTAGGGTGCCTCAAAGAAGCCGCAGAAGGAAGTATGCAATGCGTCAGGGCCATAAGAACTCTGTGTGTTTGGGCTATGTGGCATCGAGTCTTGCCGTGGAGCTGCAGAGAAATATGGTTGGACAGCCCAGAGCATTGGCTCTCTCCAAATCTCAGAACTTTCTACATTGGGATCATGGAAAAAAATGGAAACTATGATTTACGGGTTATATAGGGATAATGGAAAGCAAAATGGAAACTACTATTTTGAGTTTAGAGTTTAGAGTTTAGTGTGTGTTTTGCTTCCAACTCTCTCAAGCCACTGTCAGCCAGAAAGTGTGCAGCGCGTGATGGCTTGTCCCATAGAGTTCCAACCCTAAACCTTGGGTCATTCCCCCTTACAGTAATTGTTACCACGATGGGTTATAGGAGTTATAAGAACCTCCTTAGCAAGGCCCCGTTAAGGACGGTTACTGGGAGGGAGTGGCCCAACCTGAACCCTAAAACCCTAAATCCTAAACCCTAAAACCCTAAAATCCCTAAATCCCTAAACCCTAAACCCTAAAACCCTAAATCCCTAAATCCCTAAATCCCTAAAACCCTAAAACCCTAAACAAAGGATGGCTCTCATGATGACATCAACCTGAAAGGCCTTGAAGTGCTGGCTACCACAACTACTGGGTTGCTGTTAAGGAACTGAAATTAAGGGTTTAGGGTTTAGGGTTTAGGGAAAGTTTAGGGTTTAGGGTTTAGGGATTATCCCCCTATAATGGAGAATCAAATGGAAAAGAACACAGAAAATGAAATGGAAACTGGGGGAATATAGGGATTTAAGGAACTTAAATTAAGTTACTCTATTGGGGAAACCCTCTTATTTAGTATATATACCCATTATGGTAACTTAATTTAAGTTCCTTAACAGCAACCCAGGCTAAACTCCATCACCTTGACCACTGCACGGGTGGCTCTTTGGCAAGACTCGCTTCAATTCATGCCACCGTTGAAGCTTGCTTGCATTTGCTTGAAAATTTGTGCTGTGTTGCATGTGCTTCCTTCTCCTAAGCCATACTACGTCTCCAAATGGAGACAAATAAGCTCAAGCTCTGGAAAATCTTTGGAAGGCAGCACAAGCAACGCAGCATCACATCAAGATGAACAAACGTACCATCAACGCATCCTCAAGAAGATGAACACATGTGCCACCAACAGCTGGCGGCAAATTGCCATTGTGGTCGAAGGGCACAGGATGGTGCAGAAAGTATTGAAGTATATTATAGTAGTTTCCATTTTATTTTCCATTATCCCAATGTAACCCCAATGAATCTACCCCTTACCACGTTAAAGGTAAAAGCTTAGTCTAGCACTGACCGCTTTGCAGTGGCAACCCTTGCTCTGACTGAGGACCGGTCATGCGGCAGACAGAGAAGCTTTGAATGCTGCACTTTTTTCGCTTGCCCCAAGTGGTAAGTGGCAGCATGCCGCATCACTGGTAAGCAGCATGATAGCGAGGGAGCAGCTGCCAGATGAGCTCAGTTGCGATGCAGCCTTCACTGCATGCCAAAGGGCATCACAGGCTTCTACAGCAGTTCTATATCTGAGGAGCGTGCAGCATTTCGCTGATTGTCTGCTTTTCCAATTGACGATGGCGGAAAAATTGCTTGACTGGTGCATCGACAGCCAAATCTTGAGGAGAACGCCTTCCCATTTCAGTCAAGGTATGCAAGCTGTAGTACAGTACTCCTGTAGGCTATCCACCTCAATCAACCCCCTCAGCAGCCATCAGTGTTGCCAGGTGGCACGCTACTTCATTTCCACGGGCCGGTCGCCGCCAAATGCTGTCATGCATCTTCAGCTCCCCCTTCCAAGATTCTGAGGTCAAGCCCTGTGAGCTAGAGCTAGCTCATTTAGACCGCTGGCTCTGCCGGAGAAAGCGTGTGGCTGGGGTTGTATGCTCGCGGTGTTTGAGTCTTCTTCCCCCAGTTTTCCCTGCTCATGAGCATCCAGGCTATATTGTCGTGGCATGCACCGATTGTTGAGATTGCATGTGAGTTCTCCTGCCGTTGTCCTCTTTGGTCGTCTTCTTCAACGCGGCATCATACGGTTTAGGCTTTGAGTTGAGGAGACTTGGGAGAAGTTTGCCTCATGGTGAGTGTGAAGGCGTGGCCGGGCGGCAGCGGGGCCTGACAAACTCACCCTTCTGGCATCTCCTTAAGTCGACCAGGCATTATAGGAATCTGAGTAACTTCCGTGAAAGTCCGTGTACTATTCTGCTGGTGTGTTCCGCAAAGTCTTCCGGCGATGGCATTGTTTTACATGGCAAGCCGTCAATCGCTGCCACGTCAGTGGCTGTTGGGTCGGGCATTGACTTGAACTACAAGGTTCCTGAAAATAATTTTTAATTTCTGTTTCCTAGAATCCTAATATTTAGCTGAAATTCTAATTTCTACTGGGGTTCCAAATCCCTTGGAGTGAAGGCCAGAGGTTTGGTTGGATTTGAGATGCGATGCATGTCTAGGCTTATGCACTTGTCCAGTAATGTCTGTGGGTTGAAATGGTAGTTTCCCTAAATAAAGGGACCCCAATATAGACCCCAAAGTACTATGATCCTTATAATAGGACCTCCCAAAAAGGTACCCCTAATTTTGGGAAACCCCCAAATGATGCATTGAGGTGAGTTTACCTTAGGAAAGTCAAGAGTCTGGAAGCAACAGCTCAGCATCCTGCAGGGTTGAGGTCCTGCATCTCGCAATTGTTCCAAGTAGATGTGCGGTCCTTACTGTCTTCCAAGAGAAGGGTGGCATGAAGTAATCTAGGCAGAGCCACGGTATGTATATACATATATATATATACATATGTATATATGCAGCCGCAGTTATTTACGTAAGACAGTAGAGGGTTAGGGGCGTTGGCATTTTTGCGTTTGGATTCAGCGTTCCTCTGCGAACGAGATAGGGGCCGTGGATGGAACGAGATAGGCCGCAGTTTCTTTTGCAATAAGAGCCCAGTGCGTGTTCCAACATGGCGAACGAGATCAGGTGGTTTTGTCAAGGTACAAGACAAGATTTGATATGAGGCGAACGAGATGAGGGGCCGTGGATTAAAGAAGTGCCGCATAAGGCCTACGTAATTAATGAAAGCCGGCGCTCATATCATATATGTATATATATGTATGTATGTATATATATATATCCCCTACATAGCCCCATTGTAGTAGTTTCCATTTTTCTTTCCATCATCCCTATTAATAACCGCTATATATCCATGAGCTGTTGCAGTAGTTGGGAAAATGAACACTACTATGGTATATTGGGGTTATATAGGGATAGTGGAGCATGGAAACTACAATTTTGGGTTTAGAGTTTCCCAAAATTAGGTTGGATGTCGCGAATTTTGGTTCAATGGGTGGCTATAGGAGGTTGGCTTTAGATGCTAGTATCATGAAGTTCAAGAGATGAAATGGCGCTATCTCCATGGCCCTTATTGGGATCATTGGATGGGGACCACGTACGTACGGGAAATTCGGAGGCGAACCCAATTTGCCAACGCAACAGTGTGGTGACAGTATCTGCAGAGCTTCTGGAACGAACGGATGCTTGGCTCATGCGGGGCCTAGTGCGCACTGGGCCTTTGCGGTAGCTTTGCGTGGCCACTGCCTTAGCGAATCTCTGCGCAAAGAAAGGGTTTCAAGGTTTTTCATGATTGTCCTTGTAGAATCCCCAAGAGGGACCAACAGCATGCCCTCATCATTAGGAATTTAGTTAAATATATCCGAGAAGTGGACTGAGCTTCTCAGTGATATCAAGGGTCCCGATGTTCCTGCAACTTGCAACTTCTTGCAGCTAACAAACCGGAGACATGTGTGTGCCTGTCAAAATTATGGTCCCTTTTGGGTCCCTATTATAATACGGCAATTAATATTTAGGGTACCCAAAAAGGGACCATAATCCGACATTGACAACCAAACATGTAGCTCGCAAGGCCATGTTGCAGGCGTCCCGGGCCCTGGCCTCAGCCTCTGACATCCACTTCCTACATGGATCAGTATTCCCCATAAACTATTAAGGCAGACTTGGGGGATACTTCACGGTCGCAAGGAAGGGGCTTGTGTTAGGGTAGGTGATTATGAGACTCCACCGTCATACTCTGCGCGCATTCAGTATCTCAGCTGCTAATAGGCTGAGCGAAATGAGGCCTGGCGACCTGTACAAATTGCCGCGCGCCAGCTTCCCATTGTCACACAGCACTGCTGGGCGAGAACTCCTTGAGAAACTGGCTTCCACCGGATTTACGCTTCAGGAGCGTCTGTGGCGGCCTCACAGAGGGTAACGCTGCTTCTCTAAGGATGCTCTCTGCACACCGCGCTACGCGGACCGCCTTTGAGACTTGCATGCAGGCCGGAGGGTCGTCCTTGCTTGAGGTGAAGCTCACTTGTGCAGTGTGCATGTTGACTTGGGCTCGTTTCCAGGTTCAACGCGCATGCAGCTGATGCAGCCAAGGGTTCTGTGAAAGCCTCGGTGCTGATGCTTGCATGCGTTGGTTCTTCATCGCGATCTTGCCGAGGCGTGGTCCCAAAGAGCGCTCCTGACCTTGGCAGGCGAACCTCTGCTGCCTTGCTTGCTTCAAGATTTGTTTCAGTATCGCAGAACATGGCCAACGCAGCCATGGCATTCTGGTGTGCAGTGTCCGCATGCTTGGTGTCTTGCCATGAAAAAAAGCAGGTGTCGGCCTGGGATCGGCCTTTGCAGCGAGCAAGGTGCCGACTGATTCAAGTTAAGAGATCAGCTGTTGCCACAGTCAGCGACAGTCAGTCCAAGCGCAAGTTGCATACCGAAAGGGTGTTCCTGGATGGGTTTTGATTCACAGTGTAGACGCACATGGCGGGGAGAGCCCCAGCTTCAGTGCAGAATGTGGTTGGAGCGTATCCTGCCTGGCCTCACATCTTCTGCAGGAGCCATCGACGGCTTGCAGCTCAGCTTGTGCCCTCTCAGATAGCTTTCTCAAACTAGCCGCAGCATTGGGGTCTCGAACGATTTTAATATTAGTATGTCTGCAGATATACACTTTTAGGTCTCTTAGGGAAATTCGGGAAGCTGTAAAGGCCACTGGAAAGATGAATTGCTTTCCTGGAGGGATGCTGTCGCCAAGGCCCGTTCGGCTGAAGCCAAAAGCCAGCCAAGACCTTAGCTATTGTCAATATGAGCTATAGTCTAAACTCCTTAAAGGGGGGGATTATATAGGGGACTATTATAGGGGTTATTTAGGGGGATGCTAGGAGTTTAGACTATAGCTCATATGAGGGATACCAAGGGATTTAGGGTTTAGGGACAATTAAAGTTGGACCTAGGGGTCCTTCTTATACTTTATTCGCCTACCTATAGTCCCTAGTAGAGAACCCAGGTCCATTAATTATCTGGGCTTGCCGGAGAAGTCGGGTTACAGAACTGGCTACGGACTTGCGGGGTTTAGGGTCTAGGTTTTAGCTACGGACTAGGGGGGTTCCATCCCTTTTCATGAAGGTTCCGGTATTGAGGATGATAGTATCTGGTCTTATGAAACTCCTTTACACTTAGGACCTTAGACCCCTAACTTTTTGGAGTTCTCTTGTATTCCTGTTGCAGGTGCCTACAAGCTAACTTTTGATGGAGATGCTAAGTGTCATGGAAGTTTTTTTGCAAAAGAGCCATTCAGAAATTCATAGTCTCTGACCAGTCCTAAAGTAGGGATGGATGTCACAAGTTCATCTACTGGAAAAGAAGGGGCAGCAGTTGCTTAAGCCTGGCATGTTTTTTCCATGCCTGGTTGCGAGACTGCTGCCCACCTCCATGCGGAGTGCATGCAGCAGTGGCCCTGAGTCCCTTAAGATATTGCACGGTGGCATAGTGAATAGTGACTAGGCTGCTCAGTGATGACTTCAAAAACTATCAGCTGCCCTCCCTCCCCGATCTCCTTCCGTACGGACGGCTGCTACGGCCAATCCCAAGCATGCGGAGCGAAAACTTTAGGCAGGATTGGGGTAGGGGCCTTGACTGCCTTGCCGGGTCCGCAATGGAGGAGAGATCAGTGCTGTCTTTCAACCTCTGTGCCTGTGTACAAACATGTGCTGTGTGTTTGCAGGGGACTTTGTGTCGTTGGCGAGGCGGGGTTCGCCTGCGCGTGGTTTGAAGATTTTGGGTGTAGGGTCTAGGGGTTGGGAATGCACCTCCACAAGAGCCCTCCACGAGAGCGTCAAGATCGAATGATAAGGGCTGTCCCTCAATCCCAACTAGAGTGACCCATGGCTTGAAACCAATCCCACGACGTCACTAGATGTTGCTGGTTTGGGTATGGAGTACATTTGCCACCCGCTTCTCCTAGATTGAACGTCTCAGCATGAACGAACCTGGGTAGTTATATTAATATGTACACGGCAGCAGCTTGTGCGAGCTTCTCAACGTGAACATTGTGGCCACAAGCCGCAAGGCTCACAGGGCCTGGAGGCTGTCATAGCTGAGTGCAGAGAGGGGCACATGCGAGGTACAAATCAAGGGCTGCACTCGGCGCTTTTTTTGGGGTTGGGCCAGCCAAAGTTGGCATGGCAGACTGCAAGATCCAATGCAGGGCATATTGTCCCATGATAAGTTCAACAAAATCACCATTCCTGTTAGCCAGACTCCACAGTTCACCTAGAGTGCCAAGAGCCCCTCTCTACATCCGCTTGGTTTTCCGTCGATGCTTCACGGCGATGGTCGACAATTCCAATGTGAGCAAGGTGCACGAGGACTGGGATTTCCATTGAGCATTCGCTTTTCTCCTAAATACCATCAAAAAGCGCACATCAATTTTTGGGGGAAACTCAGGAACTGGCGGACGTGCAGGAAGTGGCAAAGTCACTAAAATGCATGACGTCTGTTTTGGCCGGCGGCTAAGTCATGGCGGTACAGACAAGCAGAGTTCATTACTGCTGTTTGCTGTTACGTTTAACCCCAGCCTCGTGACAAGGAAAAACAATTAGGACGGCTTCAAGCCAAGTGCGCGCAAAGTCTGAAGGGCATTGTTGAAGCTTGGCAGCAGAGATCAAGCAGAGAGTGATTGATTGCTTTGCTTGCTTTCACACGTGCTTCCTCGAAACTTTCCGAGGAAGATATCACAAAAAGTGTTCGCAAATTGGAGGAGGAAGTTCAACAGGCCCGGACATGGTTGATGATTTTTTCAGATTGCCGCTTCTCCGTGCTGTTTCGAATCCTGTGAAGTTAATCATTGTCTTAGGCAATGTCTGAGCAAGCTCATCCTCCGCCAGACCACAGAGGTGAACACCAGATCTTTGGACATTCAAAACCTTGGGTTTAGGGTCATAGTGGGGTTGTATGGGGAAATGGAAACTATTACTTAATGGGTTATTGGGTTGTTCTCATAATTATGGGCCCCTTTTGGTTATAGATTATATTACGGCACTTACTATTTAGGGGTGCCAACATGGGACCCCAATTTTGCAAACCAGCCTTGTGATCATCACCTCTATTGTTGCTGTCAGATACAGTATAGGGTTCATTGCAATAGTCCCCCTTAAGTAGATAGAATTCGGGGTATATGGGGATCTTATAATATACCCAAAGCCATATTCCATCTACTATAGGGGGACTATAGATGTGCTGTGGGTCCTGTTGCTGATCAGGATGGCTTGGTTGCCATCCCTATACCCCTATCATAATGTAGTTTCCATTTTCTTTTCCATGTCCTACATAACCCCAATTTAACCTTCTATAACCCTACATAGCCCTTGTATAACCACAAAAAACTTTGTGGTACCAATTTTCCCGCTTAGAGCTCCTGGGTAGCTTGCTTGCTCAGGATCACATTGCCGGGTATCAAGCACAGGAACCCTGATCTGGATGAGGAGACCCGCTGCAGAGTCCCCATGATATGCAAGGGTGGGCTTTGTGCCGCCTAGTCGGGTATGCACGGGAGCATGCAAAGAATAGTTCATGATCACCTTCCTGAAAACCTTACTGTTGTGACTTAGCGGCGGCTCTTCCCCGCCTGATGTTGGGAAAGCGCCTAGCCACCATGAATCGTGCTTTCCTTCTCCCATCTTGCACAGAATATTATAGCATCTTATGGTATATTATGGTATGTTGTAGTATATTATGGTATATTATGGTTAGTGGCCACATCCAGGGCACTCTTGACAGTGTATTCCTGTGCTTATCTTTGCATCCTTTCAAGTCCAGCAGGCTTGACAACATGGACGCAGTTTAGGGTTAGGGTTTAGTCTAAACTCCTGAAGGGGACCCCAATATGAGCTATAGTCTAAACTCCTCAAAGGGGGCTTTCTAGGGGAATATATAGGGTTTAGTCT